GACATCTTCCAGGACAAAGCAGATGCCGGATTGGCTCCATATTCACAAGCATTTACTCCCTCCACTGCCAGCACACAACAGCAGCAGTGTGTGCTATGTACTAAATGTACTGCAGCAGCTCTCAATGGCTCATTAGATAGTACTTTCCAAACCTGCGACAGCCACTATGCAGAAGGTCAGGAGCCGCAAATGTATTGGAATTCCATCATTTGCAAGTTCCCCTCCAAGCTATGTACTGTCCTGACTTGGAAGTATATCGCTGTTCTTTCAGTGTCAGTGGGTCAAAATCCTGGAACTCCCTCCCTAAGGGCATTATAGGTCGACCTACATCAAAAGGACTGCAGCAGTTCATCAAGACAGCTCATCATCAAATTCTCAAGGGTAGCTAGGGATGGACAGTAAATGCTGAACCCGCAATCGAAACCCATATCCCATGAATGAATTTTTCATGAATGAAATTTCCAAATGCAGACTGTTACCAGGCAGTGTAATGAGCATTTGTTCCAATTCAAACCGTATGTAGGTGACCTTTATTAAATCTGCTAGCTTGGTGGTTGATATATCTCAGTAAGCCAAGATCTTGTACGCTGTCAGATTGGCACCTTTTCAGATATTAATATTCTGAGCTGTCTTTCTCCCTTCAGAATATATTTCTGTTACTGCAGTAATGTGGTAAACAGTTACTGAAACACTTGATTAATGATTTAATCCTTTAAAATTTAACCTTTTTAGTTTTCAAAACTAGTTTTCAAGCAACTTGGATTTTTAGTTGAGTCCATGAGTTGTGATTTCTACAATATTTGTCCATTCCTTGCTGTAGGATTCTTCTTTGCCATTGCACAGTTTCCCCAGAGTAGTGACCAGGTGTGTGATGGCTGTGACTTGTATTCTAAATAGTCCATCCAATTGTGTCTGGCTTCTCCAATGTGCTTTCCTTGACTGGATCTGTCATCTATATTTTCCTATTTGTGTATTGCATGGATAAATTTAATTTTATTTTCTTAATTTATTAATTGATTCTCTCCAGGTAAACTTGTAGGTTGAGTCAGTAGTCAGGAAGACAAATGCAATGTTGGCATTTATTTTGAGAGGACTTGAATATAAAAGCACGGATGCAGTCCTGAGGCTTTATAAGGCTCTGGTAAAGCCACATTTGGAGTATTGTGTGCAGTTTTGGGCCCCATATCTCAGAAACGATGTACTGGCCCTGGAGCGGGTTCAGAGCAAGTTCACGAGAATGGACCCAGGAATGGAAAGCTTAACATATGAGGAACGTTTGAGGACTCTGGGACTATACTCATTGGAGTTTAGAAGGATGAGGGAGGATCTAATTGAAACTTTCAGAATACTGAATGGCCTGGACAGAGTGGATGTTGGGAATGTGCTTCCATTGGTAGGACAGACTAGGACCCGAGGGCACAGCCTTAGAGTAAAGGGAAGACCTTTTAGAACGGAGATAAGGAGAAACTTCTTCAGCCAGAGAGTGGTGAATCTATGGAATTTACTGCCACAGAAGGCTTTGGAGGCCAGGTCATTGAGTACATTGAAGACTGAGATAGATAGGTTTTTAATTATCAAGGGTATCAAGGGTTACGGGGAGAAAGCGGAAGAATGGGGTTGAGGAACTTATCAGCCACGATTGAATGGCGGAGCAGACCCAACGGGTCGAATGGTCTAATTTCTGCTCCTATGTCTTATTGGTTTTCTGATCTTTTTAATTAAAGAGAAGGTATTAATCTGATTGTGCCTGGGTAAACATTCAATATTCTTAACAATTTTTTCAATTTTTTTCATGGATATGAGCAGTGTTCACTCTGCCGTCATTTGTTGCCCATCCCTAAGATCTGGAGTCACTTGTAGGCTAAGGACAGCAGATTAATTTCCTTAAAGGACATTGAACCAGATCAGTTTTTACAGCAATCAATAATTATAATGAGCATCGTTACTAAGATCAGCTTTACGGTCCAGGTCTATTAATTAAATTCAAATTCAATCTGTTATCACAATTAGATTTAATACCACATCCCTAAAACATTACTCTGGGTCTCTGGATTACTAGTCCAGTCACAATACCACTATGTTATAGTCTACTGACTTCTTCACTAAGTAGTCATCTGAAAGGGGCCAGAGTTGCTGATGTATATAGAACTCTTTTAACTTAGGGTACTTTCCACCTCCTCGATCAGGTTCCTTACAGTATTTAACTGCCATTAGAACACTTTGAGAAGATAACAGTGCCATCTTTTTGAGACAATCATCGCAGGAACACATTCAGTAAGCTCCTCAGAATGCTATTGTGTATGTTCTTCATAGAGCATAATGTGGATTGGATTGCTTTCAGATGCCCTTCTGTCAGCAGTGGTGTGTTTTCGGAATGGAAGCTGCAAACGGTGTTTTTTCTTAAACACTTGAAGTGGGATTTTACATTTTGTAGTATGTTATTCTTTGGTTCTAATTTAAATCAATGTTTTAATTAACAAATGGTCAAATATTTTATTTCCAGGAGTCTTATAGGCAAGTAATGAAGATGAGACCAAAAGATTTATGGAAACGATTAATGGTAAAATTCCGGGGTGAAGAAGGATTAGATTATGGAGGCGTTGCTAGGTAAGTAATTATTAATATACCACGTGTTGGTTGACTTATAAGAAAATGCTGCCCCTCTTTTCACTGGACCCACTGCCACAAGCTGTGCATGCGATTTCTATTTAGTCAAAGGCAATTGACCAATGCTGCTGTAACAATTTATTAAGATGCACAAAAGTAGTACACGGTGACTTTTTAGAACTTTTTTCTTTAAGCTGAAATGTTAATCTGGCTGACTCTTGAATGGACAAGGCAAACAAAAATAAAGAATTCACTACTTGGGGAACTTCAGACATGATGCCCTACCTCCTGGGGCATGTGATGTCTCCTGACAACTAACTTGTATGATGTAGCTTGAAACCTTTATACAGACTGTGGTTGATCTGAGTGTACCACAACTTGCTGCAGCTGATAGATAAGTTTCTGCATTTTAATACTCATCATGGGAGACTTAAGGCAGCATTCATGCAGTGTTATATGGAGATGATCTTAACTACCAAGTAAATTATGAGTATTGTTATTGGCAAATTAATAACCGAGATGTTTGTATTGTTCCTTCTCCCAGTTATTAAATAGTAATTTTGCTCAGTGATTGCAGTTCAGTTTTAAATGGTTCTGTGTGCAGCACCACCTTGTGGATACTTTCTTGGACATGGAAATGTATCAATCCCAAATTCCACCATTTGTTGGTTCCTGTTGTGTGATGGAATTACGTAGTGCTTTTCACCTTAATTTGGATACGAATATCACTTTTGTCTCTCCTGTTGTTCTTGTAGTTGTTTCCTTCTACTGAAGGTGCTGATTCTTTCCTGGCATAATTTCATGGTGTTAGTCACGCGAGTAGTTATTCTTAATGCACAAATTTAATGGCAAATATTGGCAGACTCTGACTGTTTACGCGTGGATGTATCACAGCTAAACCTGTTGCTATTTTCTACAGACCTCCGTACCTCTGCTTCTTGGGGCAGTGAAAAGAAATAAGAATTCTAGGGGCCCTAAAACTCATCCCAATTACTGAACAGCAGACGAGAGTTTGCAACTGAGTACAGACTGAGGATCGAACTTGGAAACTTGCTGCTTTAGTTACTAAGGGCTGAAACATTTGCAGAACTTATAATTTATTTTCTTTCTGCTTTCCCCTGCACAGTCTGATTTATTTAAATTCTCTCCCTCCCTGAATTATGAACTGCTCAACTTAAACCAATGGGTGGGTTTTCCTGTTTAGTGAATTACAGTTAGTGTGATGAATACCCCTATACTGTCAGCAGGTTTAAAAAAGAGTTTGGTATTCCCCAGGACTGGCTGACTTTGTATTATTTTAGGTCAAGGTCTCGATCACTCGGTTAATGGTGGGGAAGGGGAAATTACATGGAAAAAAAGGAATTAGCAATAGCTTTATTACTGTAATTCTTAACACTGCACTAGCAAAATAAATATAGTTGTACATAAAAGTACTCTTGTACTAAGCCTGCCATCCCTTTACACTTCAGTTCCTTATTCTAATTTAGTTTAGCTTTTTTTTTTAAATGGTAGCATATTAGCAGTTATTATCTGATGCAAATATTTTTATAGTTTCTATCACTGCCTTCTTACTTCCATCATATGTTTTGGTTTGGATATAATGCTCAACCACAAGTGCCATTTGGCTTGCTTAAAATCTAGTCTGAATTTATCAACAGGTTAAATGCCAAACAGCTCAAGATTGGCTTGATAGGAAATGTAGTGCTTGTTTCAGTCCTGAATATATGTCGACAGGAAAAGGATGCTGGCCAATGATTGTGTTGATTGCCTGCTCTGAGTAATCTTATCTGTACCACTCTTGAGAAGTAGCCTTTGCAGTGTGGAGACATTTTACTTAAATTCTGCAAATAGTTGTAATGATTGAATAAAATTTTGTAAGGCCTAAATAATTTTTTACTGAAGAAATTTATGTTGCCTCCTTTTGATCTGTGCCATCAGCTTTTGAACTACCACATTCTCAAGTCATTTGACAGTTAGATACTGCTTCGACTGAGATTAGAAGGCTTTAAATGTTTTAAAAAGTGGAAAATGCTCTGACCTGTAACTGATTTCAGCATTGCAGAGCATTTGTGCTTCATATCCCTAAACGAGCACATATAACTATACTTTAATGATGGAAGAATATATTCTTATGTGCTCTCGTGTCCTCATAAAGCAAGGCTTCCTGTAACTTGCTACAAGATTACCATTGAATATCATAAATATTAAACAAAAGGTGTCCACTTCCTTTCTTGCAGGGAATGGCTTTATCTTCTGTCTCATGAAATGTTGAACCCATACTATGGACTCTTCCAGTACTCCAGAGATGACATCTATACATTACAGATCAATCCAGACTCTGCGGTCAATCCTGTAAGCAAAAGACTGTCTTTTAATTGATGCCCTTGTCAGCTCCACTACATAATTGTTTGAGTGATGATCTATTATTTTATAGTAAGATAAGAATAACCACTAGGCTGGATACCTTGTAACTAATTACTGCAAGCAGAGCAGTGATACTAACCTGAGAAAGTGGATGCAAAAGGAGCTGGTTTAATGATTAAAAGCCTACAGATCTGTGTGCACATGTGTGATTGCTTTCAGAAATGTACTCTGCCCAATAGAGTAATTAGCTGTCAATGGACGTAGGTTGAATGAGAGCATCCAGTGAGAGATCATATTTGAAAATGTAACTATAGTGAAATTTAAGGGATGAACACAGGATACTTGTTAAATTTCAAATGCATAGTTGTAATTTTGTGCAGCACCTAAACTAGGTTTTAAAAGTTGATGTTTCTGCCAACTGTTCATTTGAATTATGTATTTACAGCCAGCCTGGAATATAAGCTCGAAGTTAGAAAACTATGCATGAATACAAGTATGTTTTTGGAGCACAATGAAAATTCTAATTTTATTGAGGTAGCTGGTTAATAAACCTAACGTTTTTTTTTCCATTCTACTGATTATAGTTCCATTGGACATATGTTAGGTAGAATGGCAATCATATTGGGAAATATGGGCTAATGGGAGACTACATTCACCCAAAAAGAAAATCTATACCTAACAGAAGAACGAATTTGTGGCTGCAGCTATGTGAGCAGCAAGTGAAACCAAAGCCTGTCTGGGACAGCCTAGTAGATCACTGATATGCAACTTTACATTTAAGCATTTAAGGTTGGCTAAAGAATGACTTGTGGTGCAGAGAACTTAAAGAAGAGGGAGGAAGAAGAAACAAAACTGAGGCCAGTAGTTAGCAGTGTTTTTTAAATTGACATGAAGTTAATTGAACATTCTTATTAATTATGCAAATTTAATCCATACTTGGACTTTGGAGCAGAACAGATTTTTAAAACTCTCTGCATTCAACTGGAGACATGTTGGTAAAAATTGAATGGAGTTGCCCAGTCAGTTCATATGGTGAAAATATTGAATTACTTATCTAATATGTTAGTCTTTGACGTAAGACCAGAAGATTATAAGATGTAGAAGCAGGAGTAGGCCATTTGGCCCAGTGAGTCTGTTCTGCCATCGCTGATCTGATAGCCTTCAGCTCCACTTTCTTGATTTGTCCCCCTAATTCTAGAGTCCCTTTGCATGTTTCAGTCATGTCTCCTGTCATCCTCCCTGCAGTCTGTGCCCTTGTCCCCGAGGGAGAAGAACCTTATACCTATTGGGCAAGGGCACAAGATGAATCTCCTCCAAAGCTAAATTCTGGATCCAAATACCTTCCTCATTCGCAGTCGCACCCTCCTATCCCTAACTATGCATTTGATTGTCTCCTGAAATTCTCCCAGTCCCTACCCTAATGTGTCACAGTGTTTGCAGCTCAGACTCTAGCTCATGAACTGTGAGCCAAAGGTCCTCAACCAACCAATACTTGCTGCAGATGTAGCCACTATGGATCACACCGGTGTCACCTAGCTCTCTCATACTACAGCTGCAACACATCCCTTCCCAGCCATCTTTATTCTAACTAATTGTGTTGTTAAATATTTTGAAAGTAGATTTCCTAATTCTAGTTTTCAGATTTAATGACATCCCCTGTTATAAAGCACTTGACCAATCACAGAGATATGGAAAAAATACCTGTGATGTCACACTCTGGCTCTGACAGATTGAATCATGTTAAAGGGGCTCTCTGCTGCTGGTTTTTATTTCCAACTCTGCTGACATTTTCATGCAGGTCTGCTCTTCCAGTTATTTTCTGCCTTTTCAACATATGCCTTCGAGTTTTTTTTTAAAAGTACTTTGTCAATGAGAGATTCTTGTTGAAACTTGAATGTCTGGATCTTATTGGGGGAAAGAGTACATTAGGACAGGCACCTCTAGAAAAATTGGATGGGAAAATGTCTTATGTACATTTTTATTTTGAACTCATGTAAAATTTTTAAACAGCTAGGTTACAAAGGAATTGGATCAAAGTAAAGCATGACCATTTTTTGTTCTTTCATGTAATATATTGATGATAGGATTCTTTATCAAATAGATCTAACAAAATTTTAATTGAAGACAAATAACTTTAACTACCTTTTAACTTCTAATTCAAATTTCCTTCAAAATAGGAACACTTGTCTTATTTCCATTTTGTTGGTCGGATTATGGGGATGGCAGTGTTTCATGGACACTACATCGATGGGGGCTTCACTCTTCCCTTCTATAAACAGCTGCTGGGAAAGTCGATCACACTGGACGACATGGAGTCTGTGGACCCAGATCTACACAACAGCTTAGTCTGGATCCTGTACGTACATTGCTGCTCTACTCCTACCGCTTCTTAACTCCATGAAACAATTTCAGTAATTTGCTTTTAGACTCCATTAGAAGTTAAGTCAAATCAACTCAAAATGGGTTTGGATGGAGCAGAAATTGCTTTCAGGATCCCTTGAAGAAATTTGAACAGGCAAAGCTGAGTTTACACATGCCACTTCATCTATAGAGCCAGTGGAACAGTTGTGGACAAGAATGTGGACTTGAGAATATCCCATACAGGTGTATGCAATCGGGTGATAGTTATTTTGTCTCGAGTGCAATGTGATCATCTTTTCATTTTATCATGATGCAATTGAAGTAAAACCAAGTTTTAATCAACAATATGCTGAGCTTGATGGACTGTTGCAACAATCAATCTGGTTCTTGTTGAGCCCTTGAGACCAAGGGAAGAACAAAGCCATTTAGTTCAAAAGCAAAGATTTTTTTGATTAGTTTCTTGATGTAGTTTTGATTGGCAGCTCTGTTTGAAATTAATTCAAATTTACTGGGTCCTCATCATTATGTTGACTATTATCATCCTTTTTTTCCCAAAATCACTGAATATAATCTTTGAAGGTAATTAGTCGGGCCAGGTGACATCCATATCTGATGATAGAAGAGGAATAAAGAATCTTTACCTATGAAAATGTCCAGTCATTTATTTAATACAGTAGATGAAAACTTTTTTTTTCCATTTTTACATTAACTAATCCAAAATTGTATGTTGCATTACTGCTTTTGTTTGCATATTAGTGTTCAATGTGTGTTTGGTGGTTAACATCCAAGACAAAGTCCAATCAGTTATTCTGCTGCCTTCCAAACCTCCGGAGGATCTTTTCAAAGCATAAAACCAGTAGCTGAAACAAGCTGTGAAAAGTTCTTTGTTCATGATATATGGAGAGTATTAATTACGTATGGAAGTGGTCTGAAATGCAGTAACCAAAAAAAATGTAAATTTAATCAAAAGAGGTGAAGGGAACTATAAGACATTGTGACCCTTTTCGATTATGTATCAAATGCTAACTTTTTAAATGACGTATCCTATTTTGTATATGTCAGTTGCAAATTACTGCTTCACGAGTATAATCTGTTTTTGTAATTCTTCTCCTCCAAAATTATCCGTTGGAGCGAATATCAAAAGGAACATTTTATCTATTTTTAACTTTATTTTGTTTAAATAATTTCCTATTTATAACTTTTAAATTATCATGTTTTAAAAATACATTGTCTTTGTTATTTAATTATGCAAAATTAAAAACTACTTTGTAGCTTTTTTTTATTGTATCAGAATTTGAAATCTTCAAAAATCTGTTAGCTGAACCTTCTGTGCTCTAGCTAATAGTAATCCTGGAATGAACAGCATTTTTTGGATTGGATTAGGAAATTATTGTTTTTCCTTGTTAAAAACTTCAAACGCTGTTTTAGTTTCTGTATGAATTTGCAAAGTTTGAAAAAGGAGGAGCAATATTAATGGCATCTATGCCTTGCAGATTTGAGCAATCTTTATTCTGCAATATTCTACAAGCGCAGAAGCTTTTTGGCAAAATAGTTTAAATCAGAACAAAATTTGCCACAAATCTTTTTCACTAAATTTGCCACAAATCTTTTTCACTTAATTTGTCAATTCTTGTTCTGATTCTGGCAGTATTTAAGGAGAACTGTTAGCAAGACATGCACTGTTAAGAAAGTTGAAAAGTAGTGTGTGTTAACTATACAGAAGAGTTTGATGCAAGTTTCTCTTAGCTGAAAACCTTGACCTCTTTATCAGCTGATGATGCAGAATACGTACTAAACATAAAACGGTAATATTTTGGGGGCAGAAAAATTTCAATGATCAATTGTTTTGTTTTTCTGCTGTGCAGTGAAAATGACATCACAGGTGTCTTGGACCACACATTCTGTGTGGAGCACAATGCCTATGGAGAAATCATTCAACATGAACTAAAGCCAAATGGGAAAAGCATTCCTGTAACAGAGGAGACCAAGAAAGAATACGTTCGGTAAGAGAGACAACAGGTCTGTTCAGCTTACTGCTACTTTATGATTCTACTTCATGAAACTTTAATTCAGTTAGCAAAATAGTTGACAACAAAATAGTTTGGTAAGAGATTGGATTTCTTGGTTTATATTTGCATGGCTAGATGCAGGCTACAATTTACTATGTTTTAAGATAATGTAAGCAAGCTACATGTATCAGCTGAACAGCTGTCTTCAACGTGTAGTTGATTGGGGCTATATCAGTCAGTACTATGGATTGAGTACCTAGAGATTTCACTGAGTCAACTGAGCCCAATCTACATTTGTTGCAATTATTTTACTTCTGATCCATTTCTGCAACATTTTAGGACATAAGCTGATAGTGAAACAGAATGAATAAACAGGTTTTCTAAAAAATCTGGAGACCACTATTGTTTAATATTAGCCCCAAAATATGGAAAGGATAAAATACATTGCTGTGTAATAACCCATGAACACTTTATCTATGTTCACCTTATCATCCCTGTTTCTTCTCATCTATGCTTTTTTAATTTTAACTTAATGCTGCTTCCTGGCTGCTTCCTGTCTCCTATCTATTAAAACTGTTTTTGCATTGTTAAATTATGAAATGAATTGGGCATGATTCATAGGATTCGGTTTCTGTTCAGTGCATGCTTTTACCAAGAAGTTGATTATTTGAAAGCTTTGTATTCATAAAAGTTATAGAAATATATTATTTGATGTGTCATGAGGCATAAACAAAGTCAATTTCTTCCAATAGTTACAGTTAATTTTTAATCTTCATTACATCTTGAGTGGACAGCCTGAGGGGTTTTATCCAGTTTCTGGCCTTGAATGTTAGCCTGTCCCCTTTGCTCCCCAAGCATTAGTGTATCCCTCAGCATGTAACTCTGGACCTTGCAATGTTCCGGTCTGCAACCCTCAGCCATGGACAGTTCTTTATCCTGGAAGGCCAGTTGGTTTTGAACATGTCAAAGAGCATCTTTCATGGAGTCATCTAGCCACAATTAAATTTTATCTTGGCGCATATCCCAGGGAACAATTTGTAACACAGAGTTAACGATGTCATGGAGCAGTTCGGCTGAACCTTGACGAAAATCCCTGCATCTCTTTTTCCACACCTCCTTTGCCATGGAACATCCTGGAAAGACGTAGACAAGGGCCCTTTTCCCACTGTAGCCATCTGGAGGGCAATTTGCAGAGTAGGTGGAACTCCAGCAGATGGCACAGGTAGATAGCTGTAGCTAAATGGTAAAGTATCAACGTCTGTTCAGTTTGCTTTCTACCATCTGCTACTATGATACAATATTTCTTAGGAAATTATTGACTGATAATAACAATCAATCTCAATCAAATAACAGATCCAGAAATGAGGTGAAGAAAGTATCCAATGCTGGAGAGTTTTGTTGGCTACAGATCTAAAGTCATCTGTGCCTCCCAAACATGCTATACTTAGCATGTGTCAGGTATTAAATCACAGCCATGCCTGTTTTTGTCCTAATGAGTGCACTTTTCAGCAGACATCCTTTGATATTGGGGGGAGAAAAGACCCAGAAAATTCTGGAAATGCTCATGTCTGACAGCATCTGTGGAGAGTGAAAATGAATTAAATCTTTGTGACCATACCTCATGCTTTTGGATCATTTGATTGTGATCAGAAGCAGGAATCTGCCCCTATTCACAGTCCTACTATAGCAAATTCTAGAAGTCACCGACAACAGGTTATAGTCCAACAGGTTTATTTGAAATCACAAGCTTTTGGAGCATAGCACCTTTGTCAGGTGGTGAGAGAGAAACACCCAGACACAGAATTTACAGGCAGAGAGATCCAAAGATTATGATCTGCCGTTCTTTCGGGATCTTCTCTGCTTTCTTGCATTTCTGCAGAAACTTGATGTCTGTGTCGATATGCGCAATCTTCTTTGAGCTGACAGTTGGTGGTGTCGATGGTAGCCATGATGTCGAGATGCCGGTGCTGGATTGGGGTGGACAAAATCCGAAATCCCACGATATGAGGTTACAGTCCAACAGGTTTATTTGAAATCACAAGCTTTATGAGAAAAAGCAGAGAAAATCTGAAAGAACTACAGATCATGATCTTTTGATCTCTCTGCCTATAAATTGTGTGTTGGCGTGCTTCTCTCATATTTCGCCTGACAAAGGGGCTACGCTCCGAAAGCTTGTGATTGGACTATAACCTGGTGTTTTGTGACTTCTGACTTTGTCCACCTCAGTCCAATCCCGGTACCTCCACATTATGGCAAATTCTAGTCCCCCTTTTACTCTCTGGCTAAAATCAACTAATTCAGCACTAGTCAGGACTTAAATTTGGTATCTTTAGGTCCATGTGACTCAGTTTTACATTGACTTTAGCTACTGATTCAGCTAGGAAGCTCACTTCTTTAATCCATTGAGTGCAAAGGCTAAAACACTGTTATGGTTGCAGCAAGGACTCATTGTTTTGCACTGATAGGAAAAGAGCTGCCAAAGGTGGATTGAGTCTGTTTGCAATTCAGACAAGAGCCTATCCTAATAGATTAACCTTTCCACAAAGGTTACCACTTCAATTGCAACAGTAGAGTCCATGTGAAACACACTGACTTGAAGAAATATTTCCTGTTGTAGGCTATATGTGAACTGGCGATTTCTGCGAGGTATCGAAGCACAGTTTCTTGCTCTGCAGAAAGGATTCAATGAGGTTATCCCACAGCATCTGCTGAAAACATTTGATGAGAAGGAGTTGGAAGTGAGTACTAAGTTTTTAACCTAATTTAGTGAGATAATGGTGTTGCAGACACGTGTGCTCACTTTTCTGAAGGTATTCAATCTCCTGTTTAAACTTAAAAGGGACCTGCTTGAAATGGATTGATTTTTACATTTGATGGTGAAGTGGTGTATATCAATAACTTCTGCATTGCTGTTATTGTATTGGTACATGAGATTGTAGGTTGATCCATGCCTTTAAAAACTGCAAACCTTGATCATTTTAAATTATTCACCAAGGAATGCATGTGTCATTACTCTGCTGTCTCTGAAGCTAATCACCAATTTTATCCAGTCTTAATGGCCAGTATAGTATTTAAGCCTTCATGGTACTTGACCTGTATTTTGTGATTTTAACTAATATGAACTGGGATTGAAGATGTTTTTAATTTGTTCATGGGATGTAGGTGTTGTTGTCCAGGCCAGCATTTATTACCCATCCCTAAGTGCCCAGAGGGCAATTCAGAGTAAATCACATTAGTGTGGGTCTGGAGTCACATGTAGGTCAGGCCTGGTTTGGAAAGCAGATTCCTTCCCTAAATTATATTAATGAACCAAATGGGTTTTTTATGGCAACCAACAGTAATTACATGGTTGCCATTAGACTAGCATTTTATTCCAGATTTTTATTGAATTCAAATTTTGCTATCTGCCATGGTGGGAATTTAAACCCACATCATCAGCACATTAGCCTGGCACTCTGGATTACCAACCCAACAATGCTGCCAAAGCACCATCACGTCCCCTTTTAAAGCTGAAGATTATAAAGGTCTCAAATTTAAATGTTACGTTATTTTTAAAGTATAATAGTGGAGGCACCCTGACTCTGAGTTATATCTTTGATTGAGGATAAAAGTCCACTGAAAGTGCCCACATTTATCTGTGGTCTTAGCTGAGTTAGTTTATCTCAACTAGACAGCCATAGAGGTGAAACGGTTGTGTTTGGGAAATTGACCCAGATTTATTAAAAAAAACAGGAGCAGGAGAATTGCAAGCCTGCTCTATTATTTGAAATCATGGTTGATCTTCACCTTAATTCTACCTTACTGCCTGATCCCCTTTTTTTTGATTTTCTTAACTGTTCAAAAATCTGTCTGCCTCAACTTCGAATATATTCAAAGAATAAGCACTTGTATGCTTTTGAGTGAAGAGATCTCTCCTCATCCCAGTCGTCTAACTACTTATTCTAAGATTCTGGCTCCATTTCTAGACTTTCAGTCTGAAGAAAACAGCAGTGACACAGTGAAAATTTTTAAATGACCAAGGTTTGCAAACTACAAAGGCACGGATCAACTTATGACCTTCTCAACGTTGACCTTTAAAGCCTTTCGGAATCCTGTATGTTCAAATCAGATCAACTTTCGGTCTTCCATATTCCAGATCTCTCAAACTCATCCCACTTTAGGGGGTGGTGATGGTGTGGAGGTGTTGTCACTGGGCTGGTAATGTTTTGGGAGCATAGATTTAAATCCAACTGTGCCAAATGGTGGAATTTTAAATTCAATAAACCAGGAATGAAAAGTTAGTCTGGTCTAGCCTACATGTGACTCCAGACCCACAACATCGAAGAAAAAAGCTGAACTGCAGCGATGAGTTTGAGAGTGACTCCCCTTAATATCAAGGCAGTTTTTGACCGAACATGGTATTAAGGGGCTCTTGCAAAACTGTAGTCAGTGTGAATCAATGATAAGCTCTCCACTAGGTTAGAAACAAAAAAAACTGCAGATGCTGGAATCCAAGGTAGACAAACAGGAGGCTGGAAGAACACAGCAAGCCAGGTAGCATCTGGAGGAAAGCGGCAGTCAACGTTTTGGGTATAACCCTTCTTCAGGACTGGCAGACTGGTTGGAGTCATCCTAGCCGAAAGGAAGATGGTTATGGTTTCAGCCACAGAAGATCACAGCAGGAGTTCTTCAGGGTATTGCCCTCAGCTGCATCATTAATGACCTCCCTCCCCATCATAAGGTCAGAAGTGAGGATTCCAGCTGCTGATTGCATGATGCTACCATTCACAATTCCTTAGATACTGAAACAGTCTGTCTCCAAAATTCAGCAAAACATGGATATTATCCGGGTTTAGGCTGATAAGTGGCAGGTAACATTTTCACTACACAAATGCCAGGCAATGGCTATCCCTAACAAGTGAGAATCTAACCACTGTCCATTGCCATTCAAAATCCTTACCATTGCTGAGTCCCTCACTATCAACACTCTGGGGGTTATCAGTGACCATAAACTGAACTGGACCAGCCATTTAAATACTCTGGCTATAAGAACAGATCAGAAACTTGGAATTCTACAGTGAGTAACTTGCCTCGTGTCTTGTCAACGCCTATCCATTATCTATAAGACACAAGTCAGAAGTGTGATGGAATACTCCTCACTTGTATGGACAAGTGCAGATCCACCGATGCTCAAGAAACTTGACACTATTTGAGATGAAGTGTCTTGCTTGTTTGGCATCCCATCCACCATCTTAAACATTCTTACCCTCCACTGCAAATATACAATGGTAGCAGTGTGTGCCATTTATGAAATGTACTGCAGTAACTCACTGTCCTTTGACAGTGCTTTCCAAACCTGAAGGGATAAGGGCATAAGATGCATGGAAGCACCACCACCTGCAAGCTCCCCTTCAGTCACATTGTAAGACACAAGATAATTTTAAGCATAGTTTCCTTCCTTGAAACCCTATTGTTCCTTCACTCTCACTGAGACAAAATCCTGGAATTCCCTTCCTTTCTAACAGCACCAAGGACGTCAACTACAACAGTTTAAGGTAGCAGCTCACCACTGTCTTCTCCAGGACAGTTTAGGGATGGGCTGCGAATGCTGGCTGAGCTACCAAAATCCACATCGCAGAAACCAATTGTTATAAAAATTCAAGTTAATCTTTCTTCAGAAGCCTACTTATGATGCCTCTACTGTTAATCATTGTGCAGCTACTTCTACTAGAAGTTATTTGTGTTGGGTAGTTGCAAGGTAATGTCAGAACTTGGTGTTATCCTATGTAGCCTGTTCTACCAAAGCTGACGAGTAATGCTGCTTGAGCAAGTCAGGGCAGCTATTGCGTGTGAAACATGGCTCAGTAAGAGAATTGACATATAAAGGAGCGCAAGAAATAAAATTGGTAATAACAAAGGTTCAACAGTGCATTCAAGGAAACAATCCTGAAGTAAGAAAGGAATACTTCTAATTTATCTATCTTTTTTGGGATGCCATGAGGCAACCAAAGTTCTTTGCAGACATAAAAACTAATTATAATAAAATGAAATGTCAAAAGCTAAAGTAACATCAGCAAAGATTGTTTATAGCTCTGTGATATAGTCTGAATCATCATAAAGTGATCTATTAAAGTTGTGCACAACTTTGAAGAAGCAAGCAAAATTTATGTAGGTTCATGGGACAAAGTATAGTTACAGCATTTAACTTGCATTAAGTAACTAGGCAATGTTCTGGAGAGGGAAAGCTGTCTCCATGTGTTAATTTGGCATGTTTTGTTGACTCTTCCCAGCTAATTATCTGTGGACTTGGCAAGATCGATATTAACGACTGGAAATCAAACACTAGGTTAAAACACTGTACACCAGATAGCAATATTGTTAAGTGGTTCTGGAAGGCAGTGGAGTCTTTTGATGAAGAAAGGCGAGCCCGATTACTCCAGTTTGTAACAGGATCCTCTCGAGTGCCTCTGCAGGGTTTTAAAGCATTACAAGGTGAGTGTGATTTTGAGGCTGCGTACAGTTATGTACTCTCAGTAAAACAAACAAAAACATAAGCTTGATTATTTCTTTCTACCTATGTACCAGTGTGGACAGGGTAGAAATATGTACCATCATGATGACATTGAGGTGAAAGAAACCATTGGTTTACAAGGCACGTCATCTTTGGAGTTATATATTGTGAAACCAAACACTTGCTAAGATTACGGCTTATTTTAAGTATATTGATATTTAAAATGGTCTTCATGTTACTGCAGGTGCAGCAGGTCCAAGGCTCTTCACCATTCACCAGATTGATGCCAGCACCAACAACCTCCCCAAAGCACATACCTGGTAGGCAACCATACCTTATTTGTGTTTTTACTGTCTGTTAATGTTTGCTTTAATATCTCTAGAATTCAAAAGAAAGCTAGAGAATGGAAATGAAAACATTAATCCATTAAAATGGAGAAATGATCAATCTAACATAATTAAGAAAGATCATATCTTTGTGAGTCAGCCCAACCCATTCCATTTGTTCCAGACTTGGCAGGAATTCATGAAAGAAAGAATGGGATAGTCTTATAAATGGAACCTGTCATTAATAATTTTCTGTCATCATGCTGCAGCTCTTTCACTCTTTTTTTTTACCCTGGAGTGAACAGATTACAGTATAATGCACTTGAATGAATGTTATTGCACACTTTGTTTTAAGATTTACATCTGGCCATTAAAGATTATGAATACAGCCTAAGAATGTTACAGATAATAAGACAATAATAAAAGGAGTCCTTGGGGGGCGAATGTACAATCCTATCAAGAGACTTGAGGAGCCAACTTTGAGACAATGCAGCTGTGCACATGATTTACAACCTGTTAAGGAACTGGATAGTAAAACATGTTTCTTGACTGTTTTCTTCCTAGCTTTAATAGAATTGACATTCCTCCCTACGAGAACTATGAAAAACTCTATGAGAAGCTGCTAACAGCCATTGAAGAGACTTGTGGGTTTGCTGTGGAGTGATTGTTTTGTGAATCATGGGACTTCCGTACGCACCTGTCAGTGAGGGCTTTCTCCTGCCGAGGTTCCAGCAGTGCTTGGAATATACAGGATGTCTTTCCCTTACCTAGCGACAGCACAGCAAGAGGGATTGGATGATTAGGGAATTTTGAGGAATTTGGTCACCTGGCATTTGCCACGAGACTATCAGCTGCTAAACTAATATCTGGAAAATTACAGACTGCTAACTTTTTATGATTTGACCAGTTAGCAGTATTCTTGATAGCGTTTCTGACTTAAAAGACTACTACAACAATTTTGACATCTGTCTTAAGCCCATCTACTCCTTACTAATGAATAATACCCTCATGCGTCATGATGTAGACTGCAGCAATCGGTACAACAAAACCATTGTTGGGCTGATGCAACTATACCATCATTGCACCTTTTTTCCTACTGGTCATTCATTTGGTAGTGAAGCATCAAATTTACAACAGTGCAGTAACTGAGCTATCATAAAGTAAATATTCCAAATGAATTCTCAAATGGAAAATTGGCTTTTTTTTATTTTCAGTCTTCTTCCTGGTGTATTGCAGACTTGAACCGACGTCTGTTAGGCAAGTTATTTTTGTACAAAATCATCACAGGAGAAACATTCCACTTCATTTTGGCCAACTCAGCCATAACCACTTTTCTCCTACCCCTCCCAAAATGACAGGGAGGAATCTTTTTATGAACTGCATATTACCAGCCAGCATTGCTAACTGGGAAATTTTCTTTTGTCATTTTTCTTTTGTTATTGCATCAGTTATATTACATGACATGGGATAATTACTCCATTTATAGTATATTAAAAGCAACAACACTCTACAATGCGATGTTGGTTTATGCTCTCAGAATGTTTTCTAACATGAAGTGTGTGAGTATATTCCATCTTTTATTAGTTATAGCTGGGCTGAGACAAACTTCATTGTATAGCCAACAATTATTAAAGCAAAAGTTAAATATATAAAATTAAAGAGCGTTGTCCTCGGTTATGCTTTTCTATCCATTGATGAATTATGACTTGTATATTAAATTGAGGCAGCTCAAAACCCCGCATTGACTTTTTTTATAAAGAGTTTGAGATTTTTTTTTGTAATTTTAATGATAGGAAATGTTCTGCAGATCCTATCCATTCACGTGAGTTTTAATATATTTATAACCTGTTGACATTCTTGTCAAATAGTATTTCTGTACTGGGAGCACCTGTTGATACAGCATTCTTATTTTTTTTGCCCTGCACTGCTGCCTATCAATTGCAAAAGCATCATCCAGCAGTGAAGTGTCCTGCAATGGTGCTTTGTACAGTCTTGGGTGAGGCATATATATAAATCTGAGGCTAATACTGTGACTATTACAACTTTTAAGTTAAGATACAATTAACTTTTATTTTAAACCACTTTTTGCACATCTTAAGACTTTAGTTCTGTTTGGTTTGTTGACCTTTCTCTCCCCTCGCCCCTCCTCTTTCCTACCAATCCTAAAAGGTTAACAGCTGACATCCCATTACCAGAACAAAGTCTTCAATGGACATTTACAGCCGTGTTCTTCTGATGAATGTCCAATGCACACGTGGTCTATTTTCATGATCTGTTCAGAACCATCCATAACACTACACCTAAGTTTATCAATAATGGATTTAAAAATGGACTGCGTACCGAGAAGGAAAAGCTAAAATCAGCAATTAGAGTGTTGCTCTTGTAATAAACTGCATGCTTCATCATACAGCCAATAGCTCCTAGCATGCGCCCATGGCTTCACAGACTTGAAATATGCTGAATAAATGGAATAATATGTTATAGCAGACAGGAGCAGTTCACTGTATGTAACACTTATTGGTTAATAGAATATTGTCTACCAGTTGTTAAAATCTTTTTTTATATAGATGTAATTAGTTTACAATTAACCCCTTGGCTTTACTTCCCAGTTCTTAAAAACACCATATTTTATTTTGTTTTTAGGTTTTTCTCATTTCCATTTTATTTTGTATTTATTACAGAGTGTTTTAGCGTCGTTAACACATTGTATTTCACTCCCGCTGTTACATGGGCTTTAATAATTAAAAAAAAACTGTATGGAAAACAAAACTTTGCGTGTGTACCCATGCAGAATGAGCAATAAAGTGTATGCTGTTTGCACCCTCACAGCATAACCAGTTCAGTTTATATTTGCCTTCTGTCTGTTAATGATTGAGTAGTTAAGTCATTAAATCAGTATTGAAAAAGTGATATCCCACTACTGTTGATCATAAAATTTAATTCATTCAATTGAATCCTAACCTAGTGTGAATTTTAGATTATTACATAATTGTACTAACTTGTCAACCATTTAGAATAGAAAAAGAGTCCCAGCTTTAATCTAAATTCTGGGCTATGTTGACTAATCTCAGCCAATTTGGAATTGGAGATGTTCTACAGTGCAATTTCAGTAACCTTGATGAACAGTTTCCACATTTGATCACTGTCTAATCCTGGTAAGTAGGCATCAACCTGCAGGACTTGCCTGAATTTAGGATTAAGTTCTGCATACAACCCAAAAAGCTCTTCTTTTAATTTCCTTGGCTACGTTTGTTTGTTTGCAAGGTATTTATGACTAATATACAGAAAAGACAGACTGCATGTTAAAATATTCTCAAATATATTCAGTCAAGGTTGACAACCCTAATATCAAGTTAAAACAATGTGGTGTTTGTTAGGTTTGTATGCTTATGCACCACACCTCCTGACCTACTTAGGGGAACCCCTACCTGAGCATCCTGAACCAAAAATACCTGCTCCATGAGACAATAGCATTAAAGCTACCTACAGATTTTTGTATTGAATTTTTAAAAATCCTTAATGGCACAATATTTTTTACAGGAAATGTGGCATTATACCATACTTGAAACTGTGTTAGATGTTTTAAGTGCAAATTGGTTTTGCCAACACTTCATGAATGAGATCCCTTTAAATAATTTTGTAATAATGAATGGGAAAATGATAATATTCAGAAATACTTAGAATCCCAAACATCATCTGTATTGTCAGTCTATTCATCCCACTCTGTGTGCAGACCCAGAAGCACTCTCCAATTGGTCCCTCTTGCTGCTCTTCCCCATGACCTGCAATTGTCTTTTGAAAGTTACTACTCGATACAGTTCTGGCATGCTTTCAGATAATACATTCCAGATCAGATTATTTTTATGCAGCAAGTCATCATACTTCCCTGGCTTTTTGCTGAATATTTTAAATCCGTACTCTTTTATTATCAATCCTACTGTCTTGCCAAGGCGGATCATTTCTGTTGTCCCTCACCCCCTCCATATTTATGAACATAGCAACAAATATTAAGGAAAGATTAAATGATGAGGAGAATAATTCCAGTTTCGTCCGTCTTTCCTCAAAGCCAGTCTCATTCCCAGTGCTAAGCTCCCCTGTACCCTCCTCAACTGGTTCTGCCATCTTCAAGAATGAGAAATTCCTTTTGTAATAATGACTAATACACAACTTCTTATCAGTGGTTCTTGAAAGGTAGACTGTGAAGAGATGTTTGAATTAACAACATTAAACTGCAACCAGAATGAAAAAACATTTCATTGCATATGATAAAAGTAACAAAGAATTGGAGTGACTTGAAGAATGATTTTCTCTTGGGCATCAAAATGTTTGTTTTGTTTTTATTGTCTGTTAACTTGAAGTTACTTCAAGTACAGTTCACATTTAAAGAATTGTTTAAAGTGCTGGGCATGTTAAATTAGGAGAATCACCAAAACTAGAGAATAGCTAAATTTTTTGATTTCAATTGAATCTAATTCCGCACTGTGTTTTCTAAACACGTTTTTTTTCCCCCATAACGTATAAAGCCACCTTATTAAATACTTCTGTGAAACTGCCTCTGAAACTTCTTTGGATGCTCTGTCACTGACCACTACAGTAAGCAAACAGCAAAAAAGACTTCTGGTCTATCAAACCAGGTTTCACACTGGGATCTGATTTGTGCAGTATTACTAGCAGTTGGGATCATAGCAACAGGTACCATTGAAATGGAGTTGTGTTTGAACATTTTATTTCTGCCATTAGTGGCTTACAGGCTGACATGCGCTTTGTTTCTGGTCTTTTTTAAAAGGACATGGTCTTGAGAGATGGCAGCATTGCTGCAGTATTCATCATCCTGTGGTGGTGAGCTATATTCTTGAACACAACTAAGCAACTGGCTAAGCATTTTCATAGGGCAATCAACCATATTGTGGGTCTATAATGCCATCCTTGCATGGTCTGGGCTGCATGGAAGACAGTAATCCTACTGTAATTGTTCCTGTCCCTTAAAGTGATTTTGAGGACAGTTGGCCCAGAGAAAAGCTTTGCTTCTCTTCAAACCATGCAGTGGGATAGTAATACAGTCCAATACAGAGGTTGTACTGAAATGTTTGTACAGATTACAATGGGAATTTGAAACAACCTTTTGCTGCAGACTCCAGACAGTGGCAAAAATATGTCATCCCTGTTTATACAGTTATTTCATATTAAGTAAACAATGCAGCGGTGTATCCAACCTGTGACCCTTGAAGTAAGTGCGGCCAGCTCCCTATCTCTGAAGTAGGAAGCTCGAGTTCAATTCCCACCTGCTGCGGAGGTATGTAATAACATCTGACCAGGTTGATTAAAAATATCTAAACCCAATTAATAGAAAAACTGAGGCACTATTAACATTAATGCAATTTGGAATGAGTACGATTCAGGTTCTGCTGCATAACAAACCTAAAACACAAAGATCACAACAAGAATTTGTTTTTGCATGCCAAAATTTAATAAGTTTGTCTCAGGACATGATCATGTAGAAAAGTTAGATCAATAGAACTGCCTTTCCTCCGCTTGTAAATATGTGGGCAATAATCCACTACAGGATAAAAATGTACAAAATAATTTGAATGGAATGAGCTTTACAGTATTAGTGTCAAACCATCTTGTAAACATTGATGCATACATGTAGAACTGAGTAGCAGCAGGCAATAACAGTAATCTTTTAACATGAGGCACAACCAGTCTGCATTTCAGGATGCTGACATTGTAGAAAGATCTGCTCACTGATTCAGGATAAGCGGAGTAACTATTAAAGTAGTATTTATATTAAAATCTCCTAAGCTACCATTGTACATTGGAAAATGTAAAGTGATGCAGAAGCTAGAGTCTATACACAGTAATCATCTGTTCCCACTTAAATTAACTCAAAAGGGTCATTAAAAGAGTGGTCTGGATTTCAATATGGATTCTGTGCTCCAGTTGAATTAATTTTCCCTACTATGTACAACTGTTCCATTTCTTTTCCTGGTTAAATAAATGCATGAGGTTTAGGAAACTATAGTTCTTTGATAACCTGAGCTCTTTTAATCAGATACCCAAGAGCTCATTCCTCAATAGTGAATATTTATAATGGTGTTTTACTGTACTGGAAAGATGCCATCTGGAGTTGCCGCTGTATTCTCTCTGCTTCCAATTCTCTGAAGTACACATCATCATCCTCCTGTATTATCATTTCCTGGAGTTCACGAATTTCCTTTTCCATCTTTGCACGCAATTCTTTCTTCCATTTTTGGAGTGCCTAGAAATTCAAGTAGTGTTAGAAGTGAAGATAACAAGTTAGGGATAGTAATTTTCATCCGAAATCTAAGCACAACTAATTTGAGTCTATGTTGTTAATAGCAATGTAATTCAGCCCATTTATATTGGAGCAATGACTCATTAGTTGTGCAACATTACAATAGGAATGCAGCTAACAAGGAGTTAGAGTTTGAAATAAGTTTTTCAAAGCAAATAGCAAGGTGTAGACATTTCTGTGCTACTCTCGGACAAAGGATTCTTCCATCAGTAAAGTCACTACAGTCCCAAAGCACCAGAGGGGTGCTGTCTAGAGAGAGAGATGACTGGCAGTGGTTTAACCCCAGGGTCACCATGCCTCAGGAAAGTGGAGAGGTTGAAAAGGAGGCATGTTCAAGGTCACCTCAGCTTCAGCAATTCCATCTGCGCAGTTGGCGTCACTGCATTGCAAACTAGCTGTTCAACCAACTGACTTAAATGCAATGTTCTTGCAAACATATCAAGTGCTTTGCAGTTTCTGACAGAGACAAAAGACAGCAAAGTCATAGTTTGCAAGTTTGCTTTGTGTTGTAGATTTTAAAAAACACGGATTCTTTCAGGGAACACTGGTCAGAGCAGAAGAAAATGAAGTTACCTTGTTTTGTGCAGCCTCCCGAAGGTTAACTTTCTGCTGCTCCTGCGCCAGAGTTTCGGCCAACATTAAAAACTAGATTGAAAGTAAAGTCTTTTTTTTTGTCAGTTCATAATTAACATGTTCAACGTCTTAACACTTTAGGCAAGAGATTGCTTATTGCTAACCATAAATTACATCTAGGACAGATCAAATTAAGTAGCAAGTTCAGTTGCTAGTATAATACATTAAGGGCATTTAAATTACGATAAATCACTCAAAAGAATTTATTCTGCAAAGTGACTGCTTGGTATCAAATATACTGGATTGATTTTTCTCACCAATTTACCTCTTTCTAGGGCAAGGCCAGTCATGCAGAGAAACAACTTTTAGCCATTAGCTCCTCTACCAATTTAATGAGCCTTGGCATAAAGGCAGCAATCTAGATTGGGGCCTGAACCTATGATTTTTTTTTCACTCAGGCTTGAGCAGATAATCCAGGCTAAGAGATGCCTTTCGAGACCCTGTGACCCCTTGAGTAAGCATGAAAGATATACTATGATACGATTTAAAAGAGCAGGTGATTTCTTCTAGGGTCATAGCTAATACTTAAAATTACCAGATGATTTATTTGTGACGTTGGTTGATAGTTACATGGCTGTTTGTGGAACCTTGTGGTGAAAATTATGTACTGTATTTCTCCACATTACCAAAATGCCTGCACTTCAAAAAGTACTTGACTGTCCTACTGTGGTACTTTGGGAAATCAGGTCTTGACAGGCACTGTATAATTGCAAGTTTATTCTTCAATGTTAGACATATACTGTGCAATAGTTTCTTGAAGTAGTAAAATGTTAAAACTAGGTTATTGAAAGGTTCCTATTTTTCTGTATTCAAATACCTGATCTCTATAGTAATTCTCCATTGACTGCAACTCTTCCTTTTGTCGTTTCTTATACTCCTGACGTTTCTCTTTGGTGTAAGTCTTCAATTCACGTAATCTCTGTTTCTGAATCTCCAAACCTTCTTCAAACAGGGTTTTAAAAATCTTTAGAATTAGGAAAATAACATTAGGCCACTTCCTACGGACAGAAATAAGTTACTGCGTATATCTGCATTAAAAAGCCCCCTGATTATACAGGTGTTTTTCAAAGAAAATTCTCCTCCGATACAAACTTCCTCTGATGTTCATTGGAATACACGTTCTGCAAAGTACATTTTGGTTTGACACTTCATAAAATGAGACCAGCACTTTAAATGTTTTAGTGTAGTCACCAATAATTATGTACTATACGGTGCCTTAAAAGGTAGCAAAATGTTCCAGCTTAGAGACCTTCGTTTGATAAATTATGGTAAATAGTAATGATTGGGAAAAAACAAGGAAGTGACTAGTTTAAAAACAAGGAAAAAAAATGTAGGATGAAGAGGAACAAGAGAAAAGCATTTTGGCCAATACCACAGATAGTCTTAGTGATGAGTATTGTGTGCAGTGTGGACTTAAGCTCAGGATGGAACAAAATGCTGATGTCACAGCTTCGCGACAAGGGAATCATAATTGTAATTAGAGGAGATTCAGGCACATTTGGGGTCACTGTAGTTAGGAGTGAGGGAGGTAGAAAGTGTAAAGACATCAATTGAATAAATATAGAAGCTAGCCCCAAGCTTTTTAAAAAAAAGTGTTTGGAGAGGGACAGTACCAAGATCAGAAATTGAACAGAGTCCAAAAATAGAGTACAGCAGAATTGGCTGCATGGAGCTAGAAAGAGAAGAAATGTCCGGCATTGAGACACTGACGACAGCAAAGCCAAATAACAGCAATGCCAAAAAAAGACTTTTTTGAAGATTCTATTGTAAATTGTTGGTCTGTAAAACATAAGGTGCCAAAACGCCTCCAATCACATGGCCCAGCTAAACTCTGGATGTAGGTTCCCTGGGAGGAAATGCTTTGCTCAAGCCTTTCCCCCGATGTGTGAACACAAAACTCTCAGCCTCACATCAGCAATGCTGCTTGCGCTGTAAAAGAAGTATGAGTGTGACTTGCCAGATGCAGTTTTGTCCCATCCACAAATAAATGTGTTAATTCAGAGAACTATGCAGAACAGGAAGTAATTTTCCCATTGGGTTTGCCTTACTCTTTCTTCTCGAGTCCTTGCTCGCATCATTTTTGCACGCAGTTGAACGTGGTAATCGTTATAGTATTTCTTGGCACGGGCAATTTGCTGCCTTCGCTCCTTCATCTTGTTCTGGGCAGATTTCTGCTGCCGAATTCGTTCCTTGAACTCTTTCTGAAGGAGAAGTGAAAAGGTAGGTGGTTTGGAAGAAATCAACGCACAGTACCTCAAAGAGCTACTGGATTAGATATGTAAAAGAAATTAGATACGTCCAGGGCCAAACAGAATATTAGGTGGGGAACCACAGCTAGAATGATCACACAGCCAAAACAGACTGCCTATCATAGTAAATAAAACCAGCTTGGGACATAGAGTATTGAAGAGTCAAAGTAAATAATAACAGTTTCACTAAATAGTATTTTTAAAAAGTTAATTTCATCCTTTATCAAGCCTTACCAGACGCAGATTATGTTCCTGTTCCTTTTTAATGATATTAATTAAGAGATCATGCTTTTTCTGGGCTTCTTCAATCTAATAAGAAAATAAAAAGCAGTCATCATTGTTTAGCCTTAGGAGTTTGCTGTGTACGCTCAAATGGTATCCCTGCAACCCAGTAATATCTTTAAAACATTGAATATAGAGCCATATTACCCATTCCTCCTCACCCCCAACCCACCCTCCAAACACACACAGGCAGTTTGTCAGTCCATCAAAAGCAAACAAAAAACATGATTATCTACAACATGATAAAAGAATGAGGCATGAGACGCCACTCACTGCTGACTGCAGCTTGGCTTGGCTCCGGTCCCCATCAAGACCAGACTTGATCAACTGTTCTATTTGCTTAAACTGCTGCTTCCACATCCTATTCATAGCATGTGGAGAGAGTGGCAGATAAGGAAACTCTTCCAATAATAAAGGCAGAAGGTCATTATCTTGTATCTTCACTGCAAAACAAAAAAGTAACAACACTTAAATATCTAACTAGAGAAAAATACAAACAATAGAATATATATCATCTGAGTTTATTCAAACATCACAGCCAACTCTTGTAGGTTAAAAGACAGGATTTTGGTCAGTGTCAGATGGATATAACATTGATTGTGTGGCTCTGAAGTGTACCAATCATGCACTAGATGGCAGTAAGCTGCAACTGCCTCCAATTGATGGAGTCCAGCACCAGAGGGCAGCAGTACATCTTATCCCAGTGCTGCCGAGAACTTGTTCACCTGGACAGCCCCCACTTATAGCAGACACAATGCAAGCCTGGACCTCTTGAATAGGCTTGCAGCCATCCATTTCTAGTGAAATAAATCTGTAATCGTGTTTAATCCTTCTTCACAATCTGAAGTGTGGAGTGATGTTGGCTGTATACATTTAAACAGCCAAAAAGACAACCACATCAATTATGGTTCGTGTGTGGAATGAACTGCGAAAGGAAGTGGCAGATAGTATTAAAAGACGTTTAAGTACGTGAATAGGAAAGGTTTGGAGGGAGATGGAGTTCAATTTGGATAAATGCGAGGTATTGCATTTTGGTACAACAAAGAGAGGCAGGAGTTATACAATTAATGATAGGGCCTTGGTAGGGTTGTAGACAGAGGTATCTGGGGCTTCAGGTACATAATTCTTTGAAGTCTGTGTCACATATAGACAGGGTGGTTAAAAAGGCGTTTAGCACGCTTGCCTTCATTGCTCAGTCCTCATGTTGAGGTTGTGCAGGACGTTTGTAAGGCCTTGAGGAAGTGGTGGATGCAGACACAATTACATTTAAAAGACACTTAGCTAAGTACATGAAAGGTCTGGAGGGATATAGGCCAGAAGCAGGCAGATGGGACTAGTCTAGTTTGAGATTATGTTTGACATGGACTAGTTGGACTGGAGGATCTGTTTCCATGCTATCTGACTCGTGACTCTATAAAAAAGAAACCATGGTTGGAATGATACTTTGCAGCTTAAAAAAAACCTTCCCAACCATCAATTGTTTTATTTTACTTTTTGTATACAAATGCAAAGGACAGTGAAAGAATTTTTATCAATTTTCAGAGGGAATTGAGAAATGAATAAATACCATAACAGGGCTATCAAAGGACGAATAAATTGGATAATTATTTCAAATCAGTGGGGTTGGAGGAAGAGGATTCAAATTAAAATATCTTACACATCATCAAAATACACTAAACAGCACAGCTGAAAAGATGTCAAAGAAAAAGTTTGAAGAAAATAGAAATAGGGGATTGTAGTGGTAGTGCCCCACTGCTTGGCTAATAGTTCCCTGGTTCCACCTGCTCCAAAGGTGTGTAACAACTCTCTGAACAGGTTGATTCAAAAATAAATTGAAGAATAGAAACAAGAAGTATTTTGTAATAGGAGTGGAATTTGCAAGTAACTAAGATATGGATGAATTCCTTCGCAGTAGTGGGATAGCATGTATTTTTATTGCCCATGCATCACAATCAATTAATTATTTCTACAACTTGCCTGTATACAAGTTCACAAAAATTAACATGTTACATTTGGGGCAGGATGGCGGTTCAGTTGTTAGCATTGCTGCCTCACAGTGCCAGGGACCGGAGTTCAGGCGACTGTGCGGAATATGCGTATTCTCGCTGTGTCTGCATGGGTTGCCTCCAGGTGCTCCAGTTTCCTCCCACTTTGGAGGAGCAGTGTGAACTTGATGGGCCAAATGGCCTGCTTCCACACTAAGGATTCTATGGATTTCACATTATTTCATTTGAGGTCCATCTTGATTAATTTGAAATTTGATCTCCTAAATCCCCTCTCCCACTTCACCTTTTCACAGTCCTCAACTGTCTCCTGTTTCCATGGCTGAATTTAAAAAATACATTATTCCAGACATTCATTATATCCCAGCTCTCCCATTTGCTGAAATGTAACTCTGCAAACTTTGTTGCTTCCCTGCAAAATTATGGCAGTTTTTTTGCTGTCAAAGGTTCAACATTCTATTCCAGAATTCTCCCGACTTGCTTCATCTCTGGCCAAGCCCAATGTTTGGCCGCTTCTTTGATCACCAGCCCAACAGACTCTTTCCTTGGCACCTGCTTAGCATCTGTTCACCTTCCTTTCTCCTTTTCATGAACTACTTAGGTAAGCTCTTATGCTAAAGAAACCATATTAAAGTGCATGTTATTCATGGCTGTGAAGACATCCATAGCCAGTCCTCCTTGGAGTTCAACAGAATGAAACAGTTCAAAACACAGGTTAAAATTACTACTGTAAATACTAGGGCAAAGTTCAAAAGGGTTGTTGGGGCTAATTTATCCAGTGTATTTTGGCTCAATGCTAAAGGTTCTGTACAATTATCCTTAGTAGTTCCACAAATTAACATTTCTCTCAATCACAATTTTCCACTCAGCAGAAATCAAGCTATTTCTTTGAATTCTTACTAGGAGTTGCTTTCCTTGGCTTTGTCACTCCTGTACGTGTCCACTGGCTGTGCTTCTGCTTTTGCGGTGTGGTTTTTGCAGAATAAACTTTTGCTGGCTGTGGAGTTTTTGGAGTTTCTTTGAAGATATTTTCTTTACATTCTTGTTCCTTCATAACAGATGTGCAGAACAAATGTAAATGTCAAGTATACAAAAGGAATAGTCTGCTTATTTTTATATGGAGTCTTGGAGCATCACAGAACTCATCACATAACCAATTATATTGAGTTAATACAAATAGAGACAAATAGCAATGAAGAATTAAACACTGGCAGGATAGTCAGGAGTCAAAAGAGCTATGTGGATTTTGTCATTTGTTACTCATTATGTCCATGAATTTAAGAAATTACATTTGGAGACCATTACCAAGTTATGTCCTTGTGGGAAGGAAATTTTCCATCGATATCCAAATTAAAACTCCATACACCCAGCAGTGTGGTCGATTCTCATTTCCACTCCAAAACAGCCTAGCAAGCCACTTAGTTAAATAGACTCAGGCAATAAATGCTCATCTTCCTAGGTGATGCCCACAGTATTAATTATTTTTTAAAGAAAAAGCAAGCTCTGGCCTGATAATTACTAATCATCTTCACTAAACATTTAGAAAACAAAAATCAAATCAAGATACATTTAACACATATCACTCACTGCTTTCTTGACACTTTTTTTCTCTTTTTCAATTTTAGATTTCTCCTTCATTTTGTAGTTCTCCAGTTCTTTTTTGTAAGAGTCACTCACTGCCTGTAATGAGGCAAAAGGAAAGAAAAACTCAAATGTGTGTGCACATCACTATTAAGTGTTTGACTACAAGATGTTACCATTCCAGTTGATAGTAATAGAGGACAAGCAAAATCCCAGGAGTGAAACAGGACTGGATAGGCTATAAATTTCTACCATTTGATTACTACTGTGATCAGTCACTGAACATAGTCACAAGATTCTGCCAGTGTACTTTTAACAAAAAGAACAGAAAGTGTATCACATTACAACTGAACATCACTAAGGTTAATTCGGAAAGATCTTCTCAAACAGCAAATAAAAAATTTTCAACCCTTTCCCCACTGACAATTCCCATTAAAGACACGCAACAAACGTGGTGAAGTTTCATGCCCATTATTCTATTCTTTTTTATTTAACTGAGGAGTTTGCATTTTCCTATTGTGACTTTCTGCATCTTAAGCTAGATGTAAATCTGCCTCTCCAAGAAACAAATGCACTGACTTAAATCACTGACTCTTAAAGCAACTGGACAAAACCCTACAGTTTTAAAAATAAATATGTTGAGGCTGCTAAATAGCTTCACTTCTGGTCTTTGGTTCCTTTTGTCTTAAAATCACAACTTAGTAAATGCTTCAGCTATTATCTCAAGGTAGTTTGTCTAGTCGTTTAGCTCAAGTCACATGATTTCTTGGGAATACTTTGACCCACTCCTAAAAGAAAAGTTCCACATTTTAAACAGCTACCTTCACAGAACTGAAGATATTGCAGATCCCAAATATTATAAACCTTCACTGAACAAAATCATGAGGGGCAGACGGGAAGAACATTTACCCCTTGGTGGTGGGATCAACAACCACAGGGCACTGATTGAAGGTAAGGGACAGGAGATTTACAGGTGATAAGAGGAAAACCATTTTCACCCAGAGGGTGGTTGGAATCTGGAACTCGTGGGCTACAAGGTAGGTAGAGGCAGAAACCCTAGTAACATTCATTGTATTCAAATTTATACTTGCGCTGTCAAGGCATACAAGGCTATGGCTAAAGTACTGGAAAGTTAGATTAGTTAGGTGGTTGATTTCAATTGGCACAGAGTCAATAGGCTGTAGGGTCTTTTTCCATCCTGTACACTTGTATGGCACATCACGTGGAAAAAAAATGTTAAAAAGGTACCTTTAAGATGCATTTATCATTTGTATCAATTTCCTCATCACTATTCCAATTTTACATGCAAAGCTATAACATTTACAAAGCAAGGTATCTAAATCATAGAAGATCCGAATCTTGCCAACTCATTACCGCACCATCCTAGGCCCCAAATACACCTTCCAGGTGAGGCAGTATTTTATTTGCACTTTGAATATAGTCTACTGTCTTTGCTGCTTGCAGTGCAGTCTCCTTTACACGGAGGAGACCAGATGCAGATTGGGAGATTACTTCATGAAACACCTCCACTCTGTCCACAGGAATTATGCCAATCTTCCAAAGCCTTGCCATTTCATTAAACCACCTTGTTCCAATGCTATCCTTTCCATTCTTGGCCTGCTACAGTGTTCCAATGAAGCACAATGCAAGCTGGAGGAACAACACATTTTCCATTTAGCCTCTAGGACTCCATAGTTTATTTCCACAACTTCAAAGTATGACCTCTGTACTCTATGCTCCTACATTCCATTACCTTGCTCTGGCTGAGTCTGGTTTGTGGTTTGTTGTGGTCTACTCAGCAGAGTAAACCCATTCTCTCCTTTTCATAGTTAACATTTACCTACTTTATCCCCCTCTCTCACTACTACTTCTCTCTTCCCATCCCCCTCCAGATACAGCCAGACTTGTTTCTCCTACATTCTGTTTTTAGTTTGGTCTAAGCTGAAGTATTGCATTCACTTCTGGGTATCATATCTCTGATGATCTGAAAGTACTGAAGAGGGTGCAGAAATGATTTATGAGAATGGTTTGAGGAATTTCAGTTATGTTGGCAGATTTTAGATATTCAGGCTGGTTTTCCTTGAGGAGAAAGCTGACAGGTTTATTGATTTATTGTAGTCATGTACTGAGATAGTGAAAAAGTCTAATTTTGTGTGCTGTACAGGCAGATCGTACCATACAAAGTACATCAGGGTTGCAGAACAGAGTACAGAATACAGTGTTATAGCTGCAGAGAGAGAGAGAGAGCGAGAGAAAGCATGGAAGAAGTTGTTCTTGAATCTATTTGTATGTGTATCAAACTTTTGTACTTTCTGCGTGACAGAAGGGGGTGGGAGAGTATAACCGAGATGAGAGGGGTCTTTGATTGCATTGGTTGCTTTCTCGATGCAGCAGGAAGTACAGTTGGAGTTAATGGATGAAAGGCCAGTTTATGTGACGGACTGGACTGTGTTCATGACTCTAGTTTCTTGCGGTCTTGGGAAGAGCAGTGGCATACTAAGCTGTGATGCATCCAGAGAAGATGCTTTCTGTGGTGCATTTACTAAAATTGGTAAGTCTCCTTGTGGACATGTCAAATTTCCTTTGCCTCTGGTGGACCAGGACAGATTGTTGGTGATCACACCCAGGAACTTGACACCCTCGACCATCTCCACCTCAGCACCATTGATGCAGACTGGGGCATGTCCTTCACTCCACTTCCTGAAGTCAATGACCAGTTCCTGAAGTCAATGACCAGCTCCTTCACTTTGCTGACATTTGAAGGAGAAATTGTTGTATTTACACGATGCTGCTAAGCACTCAATCTCTTTCCTATACTCTGTTAAGTGATGTGAGATCCAGCCTACAATAGTGGTGTCATCAGCAAACTTGTAAATAGCGTTGAAGCAGGATTTGGCCACACAGTTGTGAGCGTATAAGGAGTATAGTAGGGGGTTGAGTATGCAGCCTTGCAGGGCACCGGTGTTCAGTATTACAGTGGAGGAAGTATTGTCACCTATTCTTACTGATTGCGGACTACGGGTCAGGCAGTCGAGGATCCAGTTACAGAGTGGGGTGCAGAGACCTAGGCCTCAGAGTTTAGAGGGAAGTTTGTTTGGAATTATAGTGTTGAAGGTGAAATTGTATTTAATAAGTAGATCCTGACATAAATATCCTTGTTATCCAGATGTTCCAGGGATTTCTTATGTTCTTATACATCTGGATATAAATTGTCCCATTGGGAACACCCAGCATGGGTTCATGAAGGGTAGGTCATGTTTAACTAATTTGGTGGAATTCTTTGAGGACATTACTTGCATGGTGGACAATGGGGAACCTGTGGATGTGGTGTATCTGATTTCCAGAAGGCATTTGACAAGGTGCCACACCAAAGACTGCTACATAAGATAAAGTTGCACGGTATGACAGGTAATGTATTGGCATGGATAGAGGATTGGTTGACGAGTAGGAAACAAAGAGTAGGGGTAAATGGGTGTTTTTCTGGTTGGCGGTCAGTGGCTAGTGGTGTGCCTCAGGGATCAGTGTTGGGACCGCAATTGTTTACAATTTACATAGATGATTTGGAGTTGGGGACTAAGTGTGGTGTGGCAAAATTTGCAGATGACACTAAGGTGAGTGGTAGAGCAAAGTGTGCAGAAGACACAAAGTCTGCACAGGGATATAGATAGTCTAAGTGAGTGGGCAAAGGTCTGGCAGATGGAGTACAATGTTAATAAGTGTGAGGTCATCCATTTTGGTAGGAATAACAGCAAAATGGACTATGTTTTAAATGGTAAAAAATTGCAGCACGCTGCTGTACAGAGGGACTTGGGTGTCCTTGTGCATGAATCGCTAAAAGTAGGATTGCAGGTACAGCAGGTAATTAAAAAGGCAAATGGAATTTTGTCTGCCATTGCTAGAGGGATGGAGTTTAAAAACAGGGAGACTATGCTGCAGCTGTATAGGGTCCTGGTGAGGCCACAGTACCTGGAGTACTGTGTGCAGTTTTGGTCTCCTTACTTGAGAAGGGATATACTAGCACCGGAGGAGGTGCAGGGGAGATTCACTCGGTTGATTCCAGAGTTGAGAGGGTTGAATTATGAGGAGAGACTGAGTAGGCTGGGATTATACTCATTGGAATTCAGAAGAATGAGGGGAGATCTTATAGAAACATATAAGATTATGAAGGGAATAGATAAGGTGGAGGCAGGGAGGTGGTTTCCACTAACAGGTGAAACTAGGACTCAGGGGCATAGACTCAAAATAAAGGGAAACAGATGTAGGACTGAGGTCAGGAGGAACTTCTTCACCCAAAGGGTTGTGAATCTGTGGAATTCCCTGCCCAGTGAAGCGGTCGAAGCTACCTCGCAGAATGTTTTTAAGGCAAGGCTAGATAAATTTTTGAACAGTAAAGGAATTAAGGGTTATGGTGAGCGGACGGGTAAGTGTAGCTGAGTCTCAAAAAGATCAGCCATGATCTTATTGAATGGCAGGGCAGGCTCGAGGGGCCGGATGGCCTAGTCCTGCTCCTAGTTCTTACGTTCTCATGAATGTCGGGCCAGGGAGATGGTGTCTGTTGTGGACCTGTTGTGCCAGTACGTGAATTGCAAAGGATCAACACAATTTGGTATCCTGGAGTTGATGCAGGCCATGACTAACCGCTCAAAGCATTTCATAATTATGGAAGTCAGAGCCATTGCGTGGTAGTCATTGAGGCATGCTGCATGACTTTTCTTTGGCATCAGGATGGTGGTGGCCTTCTTGAAGCAAGTGGGGACTGCAAATTGTAATAAGGAGGGCTTAAAGAAGAGGGGTACAGATATGGTTAATGGTAGTGTTTTTTCCCTAGGATGGCGGATTTCAAGACTGGGGGCATATTAAGGTGAAAGGAGAGAGATTTTAAAAATTTGCCCCTCATGTCTTTAAAGAGGGTGTTTTACGTGTGGAATAAACTTCCTGAGGAAGTGGTGGCTGTGGGCACAATCACAATGCCTAAAAGACATTTGGAAAAGTACATGAATAGGAAAGGTTTGGAGGGATATGGGCCAGGAGCAGGCAGGTGGGACTAGTTTAGTTTGGGATTATCTTCCACATGGACTGGATGGACCGTAGGGTCTGTGTCTATGCTATATGTTTCTATATTTTATATCTGCAAATACTCCTGCCCAATCGGTCTGCACAGGATCTGAGTGCACGGGTGGGGACTCCATCTAGTCCAGTTGCTTTCGGTGGGTTCCCTCTAACGACCTAAAGTCTGCAGTGGTGAACGTGGGTACAGGTGCATCTGAGCTGTTGGGATAGGTGTCATTGCTCACTTTGACAGGTCAGTGAAACATAGGGTACATTGAGCTTGTCAGGTAGGGATGTACTGTTGCCTGCAACTCTGTTCAACTTTGTAGCCAGTTAATTCATGTATGCCTTGCCACAAACAAGGTGTTCATGTGATAACAAGGTGTAGAGCTGGATGAACACAGCAGGCCAAGCAGCATCAGAGTAGCAGGAAGGCTAACGTTTTGGGCCTAGACCCTTCTTCAGAAATGGGGGGGGGGGTTCTGAAATAAATAGGGAGAGAGGGGGAGGCGGATAGAAGATGGATAAAGGAGAAGATAGGTGGAGAAGAAACAGACAGGTCAAAGAGGCGGGGATGAAGCCAGTAGAGGTGAGTGTAGGTGGGGAGGTAGGGAGGAGATAGGTCAGGCCAGGGAGGATGGACAGGTCAAGGGTGCGGGATGAGGTTAGTAAGTAGGAGGTGGGGGTGGGGGTGGGGCTTGAGATGGGGGTGGGGGTGGGGCTTGGGAGGCGGGGACGAGCTGGGCTAGTTTTGGGATGCGGTAGAGGGAAGGGAGATTTTGAAGCTTGTGAAGTCCACATTGATACCATTGGGCTGCAGGGTTCCCAAGCGGAATACGAGTTGCTGTTCCTGCAACCTTCGGGTAGCGTCGTTGTGGCACTGCAGGAGGCCCAGCATGGACATGTCGTCTGAGGAATGGGAGGGGAAGTTGAAATGGTTCATGGTTGGTCTGGGTCTCAAGCTTATTCAAAATTATTAGTGGTCTGGACAAATTAAATAGGACTTTTTGCTGATACAGGGGCAAAGTTACATAAGTGAAAATAGATTGTCATAGTGATGGATTAAATGAGATCAGAAGCTTGTCCAGAGGTCAAATGTGATAAGCAGACCAATTAAAATGTGGACTAGTGCCAGAGCGAGAGCTGGAGTCAGCAGTAATGAAGCGAGTTTGGAGTAGTGATCAAAATAACGGCTTTAGTTGTCCCAATATTTAACTGAAGAGCTCTGCTCATCCAATACTAGATGTTGCACAGCAGGTTGATGATATCAATAGTGGAGTCGTCGAAAGGGAACAGTGAGGTTGAGATTTGAAATCAGCACGTGTGAAAATTATTGTTGTTTGTTGCTGTCATATTGTCCAGAAAATCTTTTTGCACTTACAAGCGAATCAAAGCAACAGAAAGAATTAATTCAGCCCAACAAGTTCACTCTTAGTTGATACAGTGTGGAGTTGGAGGAACACAGCAGGTCAGGCAGCATCAGAGCAGCGTTGACGTTTCGGGCCTAGACCCTTCTTCAGGATGGGGAGGGGGAAGGGAGCTGGGAAATAAATAAAGGGAAGAGGGGTGGGGTTTGGGGGAAGGTAGGTGGGATGGCGATAGGTGGATGCAGGTAGGGGTAGTGGGGATTAGTCAGATAGGTGGGGAAGGAGATGGACAGGTAGTGTCAGGTCAAAAAAAGTGAGGATGAGAGGGAGGGTTGGACATGGGATGAGGCTGGGGATGGGGAGATTTTGAAACTGGTGAATTCTATGTTCAGACTGTAGGCTGAGGTGGAATATGATTGAATCAACATTATTACAAAAGGTTTATGCATGGAAGGTCCAATATTCTCTGCACTCTTTGTTTCATTGAAAATTTCACATGAAATGACCTGGCACCACAGACTGCCTAACCACAGGAAATAATCCAGTTTTCCAAATTAATTCCTGGGATATGAGAGTTTTCTTGGGAAGGGCAGATTTATTTCCACTCCTTAACTGCCCAGGTTGGTGGTAATGGTTTCCTGGATTACCGAAGTAGGTAGTCGAGGCTTAGGTACCCCAGTCACTCGGTTGGAGCATACCAGGCTTTTGACCAACCAATCCTACAAGTTTTATAAACTGCAACTCTCATATTTATCCACATGTTGCCTCCGTGAACTCATCGGCAATATGCAGTGTTCTGTTAAATATGTAATTTTTTCAAACAAACTTACATGCCTCAGCCAACATTTGATGTGAATAATATTCAGGCAAGTGACAGTTCTTTTTAACAGCTCACCTGAATGATACATGTTCTAAAATGTAATTTGTAATCTTCATTCAGCCTCTAGTACTTTGCTCAATTCATCTAATAAATTTCAGAACTGTAGACCAATTTTGATGTGACACCACTAATCATGACTGACCCAAAACTGCACCAGTTTGGGAAAACGTGGCTAAAAATAAAAATGTCTTAAAACAAAATCACAGTACACTTGAACAGAACAAAAAAAAAGTTCTTTAAATGTGAAACGTGGGAATCAATTAAAAGTGCAAAGGCAACTAACATTCAACTGGACTGGCTAACTGCAATGTGGAACCAAATAATAACTTCTTTGATACAACATAGTTGAATATTTCATTCCTTTACATAACTAATTTGGTAAAAGTTGGTGGAAGTTCAGAACATTCATTCTATTAATAAATGCACTGTTTACCCTACAAAAAAATGTTAGCTTGAAAGGCTGTTAGTTGAATAGATTAATATTTCCATAGAATCCCTACCGTGTGGAAACAGGCCCTTCAGACCAACAAGTCCACACCAACCCTCAAAGCACTTGACCCAGACCCAGACCCATCCCCCTATAACCCACCTAATCTACACATCCCTGAATACTATGGGCAATTTAGCGAGGCCAATCCACCTATCCTGCAAATCTTTGGACTGTGGGAGGAAACTGGAGCAACCAGAGGAAATCTGTGCAGACACAGGGAGAATGTGCAAACTCCACACAGACACAGTCACCCGTGGAATTGAACCCAGGTCCCTGGTGCTGTGAGGCAGCAGTGCTAACCACTGAGCCATCATGCCGCTCCTGAAGCAGGAATGATGAATAGGATGATTTGTTGCTTTTCAAATGGTTCTTAAAAAAGGTCAGATTTATTTTTCCAAAGTGCAACAAACTGATTTCAGCTTGCTTAAAGATAGTCCTTTTACCTTTGCTTTCATCCTCTGCTGGTCCATTTCTTTTTGCAACTCTCTACGAATTTTCCTCATCTGTCCCTTCGAGTCTTTATTGACAGCATCTTCAAACTCAGCTTGTAGAGTACGTCGTGGTGGTGATGGAGAAAGAGAGCGGGCACGTGCTGGCTTCCTGGTTTGTTTTGCTGCATTACAATGGATTGAAAGAAAATCAGACAAGTACTTATAAACATTTGCCCAAAGGGACTGATTTGACATTTATTCATTGTTTTGATACCGTTCCTGTATGAGAACAATGTTCCTTTCGTGATCTTTGTCACTTAAATACTGTCATTTTTAAACTGGCCTAAAGACAACAAGTTGATTATAGCATCTCAAGTACTTTTATTCTGGACAGAATAAATGTTTCCTTACTTGTTCCAAATATCTAAATTTGATACTAATTATATTTCATTCTACTTGACGTCTCCAGAATTCAAATATATAGGCTAAACATCAGAAGGTAAATTATGTGTTTTCTGCAAGGTACAGCAGGTATGCCACTTCCTTACGTTAAAATAATTAGGTCTTGCTTTAACATGTAAAACTCCAATTTATGTTGCAGCATGTGGGCCAGAAGAGTTTCAATGCATCTCATTTCAGACGTCAGACGATGTTGGCCTGCTAGATCAAATGTGTTTTTTAGATTGATTCGAGCAGTAGTTTAAACCTGAAAGTGGACACTCCACACTGTTTGGAGATGGTGAGAACTGCTGATGCTGGAATCAGAGTCAATACAGTATCGAGCTGGAGGAATACAGCAGGTCAGGCAGCATCAGAGGAACAGGAAAGTCAACGTTTCAGGTTTATACCCTTCATCAGGACTGGGGAGGGGAAAGGGAGCCTGGAAATAAATGGGGTTGGGACTGGGGGAAGATAGGTTGGATTATGATAAGTGGATGCAGGTAGGGGGTAGTGGAGATTGGTCAGTGGGAAGAGTGGGGTGGATAGGTGGGAAAGATGGACAGGTTTTGTCAGGTCAAGGAGGTGGGGATGAGAGGGAGGGTTGGACATGGGATGAGGTTGGGGTTGGGGAGATTTTGAAACTGGTGAATTCTATGTTGAGGCCATCGGGCTGTAAGCTCCTGTGGTAGAAAGAGATGTCGTTCCTCCAAATTGCGTGTGGTGTCATTGTGACACTGGAGGCAGCCCAGGATGGACATGTCACCAAGGGAGTGGGAGGGGGAATTAAAACGGTTGGCAACTGGAAAGTGTTGTTGATTATAGCATACAGAGTCCAGATACTTTGCGAATCAGTCACCGAATCTGTGCTTGGTTTCACTGCGGTAGAGGAGACCACTTCGGGTGCAACGCCTCTAACAAACCCCATCCTCCTAGACACCACCCCACAGCCTCCTATCCTCCTTCAACCTCATTATCTCCAACTGCCGTTGCAATATCAATCGCATGAATATCTCCATCCCTTCACTCACTCCAACCTGTCCCCAATGGAATGCACGGCCCTCCGCTCCAACCCCAGCTTCACCATCAAACCCACTGATAAAGGGGGTCCTGGTGGTGGTATGGCATACTGACCTCTACATCGTGGAGGCCAGGCACCAAACTGTCTGACACCACCTCCTACTGACCCCTCGATTATGACCTCACCCCTGATCACCAAACCATCATCTCCCAGACCATCAATAACCTCATCATCTCAGGAGACCTCCATCCACAGCCTCCAACCTCATCGTTCCCCAACCCCGCACCACCTGTTTCTATCTCCTTCGCAAAATCCACAAACCTGACTGCCCTGGTCAACGCATTGTCTGTGCCTGCTCCTGCCCCACTTACCTCAACTCCGTTTTTTTCACCCTAGTCCAGGAAATTCCCACCTACATTTGGGATACTACCCACGCCCTGCACCTCCTCATCTTCACCATGGACATCCAGTCCCTATACACCTGTATCTCCCACACGTATGGCCTAAAAGTCCTTCGCTTCTTCCTCTCCTGCAGATCCAACCAGTCTCCCTCCACTGACACCTTCATCTGCTTAACGGAACTTGTCCTTACCCTCAACAACTTTTCCTTCAACTCCTCCCACTTCCTACAAACTGAAGGGATAGCTATGGGCACCTGTATGGGTCTGGGCTATGCCTGCCTCTTCGAAGGTACGTGGAACAGTCCTTCTTCTGCTGTTATAGTGGCACCAACCCTCACCTCTTCCTCCACTACACTGACGACTGTATTGGCACTACCTTGTGGTCCCATGAGGGGCTTGAACAGTTCAACTTCACTAACACCTTTCACTGAAACCTCAAATTCACTTGGACCATCTCCGATACGTCCCTCCCCTTCCTGGACCTTTTCGTCTCCATATCCAGTAACTGTCTCAGCACTGACATCTATTTCAAACACACCAAGTCCCATAGCTACCTTGACTACACCTTCTCTCACCCACCCTTCTGCAAAAATGCGATCGCTTACTCCCAATTCCTCTGCCTTCACCACATCTGCTCCCAAAATGGACTGTTACACTCCCAGACATCCCAGATCACCTCCTACTTCAAGGGCGGTAACTTCCCCTCTCCATTGATTCATAATGCCCTCAACTGCGTCTCTTGCATTTCCCACACTTCTGCCCTCAAACATCCTCCTCCCAACAATAATAAAGACAGAATCACCCTGGTCCTCACATATCACCCCACTAACCTCCAAATCCAGCGCATCACCCTCTGCCACTTCCGCCACCTACAATCCGACCCCACAACCAAAGAGATATTTCCCTCCCCAACCTTACCTGCCTTTCTTGGGGACCGCTGACTCCGCAACTCGCCTGTCTGCTCCACACTCCCCATCAACCCCACCACATCCAGAACCTTTTTTTGCAACCGTAGGGAGGTGCTACAACTGTCCTTACGCCTCCCCTCTCACCTCTGTCCAGGCCCCAGACAATCTTTCCAAATCTGAGAGGGATTCAGCTGTACATCCTCAACCTGGTGTACTGAATTCGTTGCTTCCGATGTGGTCTCCTCTATGTTGGTGAGACCAAGCACAGACTCGGTGGCCGATTCACGGAGCATCTGTGCTCTGTACGCTATAGTCAACACCACCACCTTCCGGTTACTAACTATTTTAACTTCTCTTTTTCTCTCCACTCCCCCCGTCCCAACTTCCTTGGTGACATGTCCATTCTGGGCCTCCTCCAGTATCACAATGACACCACCCACAAATGGAGGAGCAACACCTCATTCCACCTCAGAAGCCTACAGCCCAATAGCCTCAACATACAATTCACCAGTTTCAAAATCTCCCCACCTCCAATCTCATCCCATTTCCAACTCTCCCTCTCATCCCCACCTCCTTGACCTAACACGACCTGTCCATCTTCTTTCCCACCTATCCACCCCACCCTTCCCCCTGACCAATCTCCACTACCCCATACCTGCAGCCAGCTATCACCATCCAACCTACCTTCCCCCAGTCCCAACCCCCTCCGTCTATTTATTTCCGAGCTCCCTTCCCCCTCCCCAATCCTGATGAAGGGTGTAAAGCCAAAACGTCAACTTTCCTGCTCCTCTGATGCTGCAACATGCTGTGTTCCTCCAGCACCACACTGTATTGATTCCACATTGTTCATCATCTCCACACTTTTGGGGGTTGGTGGGGGGTGGGGGTTTGGAAATCATGGTGGTTGTTACGTCATATTCACAAAAACATCTTATGAGCAGTGGGAACAGTATTAGCAAAGTAAAATACCACGTGTAATCCTGCAGTACTCAGTTACAACCAGCAGAGGTCTTCACGGAGTCAGCTGAGCATAAGGTTGATGAGAGAGTTAAGAAAAAGGTGCCTACAGATCAATTGCAAAATTGTTACATTCCCACATGTTCCAATCAATTCCATATCCACACGTTTCTTTCAAAAGAGAATGGCAGCAACTAAATGGGCCTTACATTCAGAGAACATTTTCTTTGCAATTTTAGTAGCATGTCAAAATGTGCAATTATTTATATAGTGAAAAGAAAAAATTTACGGACACCCAGTAATCCCCTCAAAGCATAACTGGGTTTATGTTTTACATTAAGAAAATTTTGCTGTGCATAAATTTGTAACGATCACTGATGATATCAAACTCAGTTGGAACTGTATTGAACCCAACAGTGCAAGGAGTTGACAAATGGTTGCTAGGTAACATTGCAAATAAGGCAATATTGTTAGTATTTCACTTGTGCCCATTAACTTTAACTATTTGTGTCAGAATTTTCATCTCACCTGTTCCAGCCTAAACAATAATACATCAAAATTTAAAAAACCAAGACATTTTGAAATAAACTAATGAAGATTCTCTTCAGAAGCAGTGAAAATCTTCAAAATTATGATGGAAGTTGATAGAACATAGAATATAGAACAGTACAGCACAGTACAGGCCCTTCGGCCCACCATGTTGTGCCAACCTATTATCCTACTATCCTGCATACCCTACATTTTACGATCCTCCACGTGCCTATCCAAGAGTCGCTTAAAAGTCTCTAAAGTATCTGACAGGATCTGACAAGCATCTACAGTATCTGATAGGGGTAGACAGAAAATGTTTGCATTTGTAGTGGACACCAAAAGTTAGAGTCATAAATAAAAGATGGGCCATGTGTTCTGCCCAAAGGCAATTCCTTAGTTCATTATCTGATGACAATAGTTACTAGTAAGTCTGATAGGGAATTCAATAGAAGTTTCTTTACCATAAATGCCTGAAAACAAGAAACTCATCACCACAAATTGGTTGAGGCAAACAGCAGAAATACTTTCAAACACAAGACACAATAGATGCACATGTTGATGGGATTAGAAGAGGAGGAATGGAAGGACACTAACACAGACCATTAACAGTCTCTTCCTCGACAAAAGCAAAGCAGTGCACACCATCTCAAAGATGCACTGAAGTTAATTCACCAAAGCTCTTTTGACAGCATCTTCCAAACCTATAACTTCTCCACCTAGAAAAAGGGCAGCTTGGAAGCACCACCACCTCCAAGTCATTCATGATCCTAACCTGGAACTTCTCTAAAATCTGGGAACTCCCTTCCCAATAGCACAGTACGAAGGATATATCTAACCCTATCGCCACTCCACAATGGACTGCAATGGTCCATGAAGATAGCTCACTGTTCCCTTCTCAGGGGCAATAACTGCTGCCCTGACCAGCAACACCAGCATCCTGTCAACGAATATAAAAGAAATAGATGGGCCAAGTGTTTCCGTGCTGTACATACTATGAAATTGATCTGGACTTGACTTGTAGCTTGGACCTGCTCCAAACTTTATCTCAAATGCAGTTTAACAAGTTCGAGATCCCTCACCAGGCAAATGCTGAGCTCTTCTATATTCTGTGATACTGTCACTGTGTTGAGACAATTTATCTTCTTCTTTGAAATTATGAGCATCATAATTCTCACCCAGGGCTTGTTTCAGCATCTGTTAACAAGATAACATCAGTCAATTCATAGATAGCTCAAGTGACGATTCATAGGATTCTAAGAACTGTATGAATCATGGAATAATGTGGCATCAGAAGAAGAAGTCATTTGTCCTAATGTACCTTTATAATTAAACCTCCTGTAAATTTTTCCCCTTTAAATAAAATATGTTTGGTTTTGCAGGTTACTACTGTATCTGCTTCCATCACCCTTTCAGACGGCATATTCTTGATCATAACTCACCGCTTTTAAAAAAAGTCTAATCTTTCTTAAAGAGAGAACTGAGAGCAAACTAGTGAATAACAAGACAATAACAGGCTCTTTATATATTAAAAAGGAACAAGGTGAACATAATTATATAACTATCACTAGGGAAACCATTGCGGCTCAAGGTTGATAAGTCTCCTGGACCTGATGAGTTGCAATGTAGGATATGAAAGGAAGTTGTTACAGACATAGTGGATGCACTGTAGTAATCTTCCAAGAATCCTTAGATTTTGGAGAAGTCCCAGATGATTGACAAACTGCAAAAGGTAACAAATTTATTCAGTGAAGGAAACAGACAAAAAAAAAGGTACTACAAGCCAGTTAGCTTAACATCTATCATCAGAAAACCTGTTAGAGTCTATTATAAAGGATGTAATAGCAAAGCATTTAGAAATACATAATGATGATCAAGCAGAATCAGCGTGGCTTCATGAAGGGGAAGTCATGCCTGACAAATTTGAGAGTTCTTTCAGGTGGTAACAAGCGGGATAAAGGGGAACTGGGGAGCATTCTAGGTTTAGACTGCGCTTAGAATATCATGAATAGTTTTGGTTGCCTCATCAAAGGGAAAATACACTTGCATGGTAAGCATTCCAGAGAAGGTTGAACCCAGATATGGGGGGATTTTCTTAGGAGAGATGGAGTAGGTTGGGTTTGTACTCATTGGGAGTTCAGAAAAATGAATGAGAGAAGACCTTATTGAAAGATAAGATTCTTAGGGGGCTTGGCAGGTTAGGTGCAGCGAGGTTATTGTCCTTGCGGGAAAATCTAGAGCCAGCTATCATAAATCTCAGTTAGGAGTTGCCCATTTAAGACAGTGAAGAAAAAATTTGAGTGTAGAAAATCTGTGGAATTCTTAACAAGCCAGCCTCAATGGCCCTCTATAGCAAAATACATCCAAGACTGTGACAGATTTCTAAGCAGCAAGGCAAATCAGGGTATAGGGATAAGGCAGGAAAGTGGGGAGGAGGATTAACAGATCAACCACAATCTCATTGAATGGCAGAACTGTATTAAATGCACCAAATAGTCGACTTATGTTCCTAAGCTGTTTTGATTCGTTGCTTTTTTTTTGCTACTGAAAACAGGTTTTACTCTTTCTCTGTTAAATACCTTTCTGACCTTTAAACACTTGTAGTCACAATTTTCCTTAACCTTGTTATTGCCAAAACTGCAGTGTCACTGGTTTCTCAGTACAAGAGAATTTGTTTTGGTGCCATTCTAGTAAATTATGAGCAAAAACACTGGAAATCGGAAATAACAGAAAATACTGGGGGGGGGAGGGAAAAAAAAAAAAAA